ATCATCATTGCCATCATCATCATCATTGCCATCATTATCATCATTGCTATCATCATCTTCGCTGTCATCATCATCATCATTGCCATCATCAACATCATTTTCATCATCATCATCATTGCCATTATCATCATCATCATTATAACAATCTTCATCATCATCCCCATCATCATCATTGCTGTTATCGTCATCACTGCATTCATCATTATTATAACCACCATCATCACTACCATCACCCCTGTCATCGCCGTTACCATCAACATCATTGTAACTAGAATAATGAACATCGTTACCAATTTCATACATGGCATTGAGGGTCGATTGTAGCGGGACTCCAACACACGATGACCTAGGTCTCTATATGGCCGGTATGCAGGCTGCTACCGAGTCCAACTTTTCATGTTGTCTACTCACATATAACGTTGTCTAGCTCGCATATACCGCTGTCTACCTCGCATGTAACTTTGTCTTCCTCACATATAACGTTGTCTACCTCATATATAACGTTGCCTACCTCACGTATAACTTTGTCTTCCTCACGTATAACGTTGTCTACCTCATATATAACGTTGCCTACCTTACATATAACGTTGTCTTCCTCTTGTACTTTTCCCTCCTCTGCCTCTCCTCCTCCCCAGCACATTTTAATAAAAAGCGCCGTATCTTTATTCTTCTTAAACTCTATGCCGTGTGGCTTTGGTAGTTACGTCTATCGACAACTTTCTATCTCGTGTACTTTCAATCAACTCTGACACAGTTGATCCTGCGTGCCATGATGTCGAACTGTTCAGCATCTTTTCTCTCGGTCTCCCTCTGCCTCTCCTCCCCTCCAGCTTTCCTACTGTCCCGGTGTAATCCAGTTTTCTCCTTCTCATCACATGACCAAGGAATGTAGATTGTCTCCTTTCTGATGTGGGCAATCAGTTCTCTTCGTGAGTCAGTTTCTTTCAAAACGTCTCCATTACTCTTATGTGTGTGTGTGTGTGTGTGTGTGTGTGTGTGTGTGTGTGTGTGTGTGTGTTCTATTTTTAATAATGCCGAAATGGCTGAAGTTTCTATCTCTCTTAATTGGGAGTCGCCGTGGTGTAGCGACTAGAGGCTCGCCTGCTGATCGGAAGGTCGTGGGTTCGGATCCTGTCGGCGCCGAACTTTTTTCACACCTGGCTCCCAGGTAGACCCAGCCTTGAATGGGTACCAGGCGAAGTCCTAGGAAATAAAGGCGGCCGGCGTAATGCTGACCACACCACCCACCAAGTGCCGATTGGTCTATAAAATATAGGTCCAGCCCTATAAGCCCAAAACACCTGAAGCCGTGGAAACGGGATCTTTACTTTACTCACTTCTCTTGATCTTATACAGGAATGCTTTCTTAATATCGATGTTACAACATAAGAATACAACAAGAGGGAGATGGGTTAATTAGTTAATCAGTCAGTCACACCTCTAACTTCACTTTAACCATGTCACTCTTTAGCTGATTCATGCTAGCGAAATTCAAACATGTCCTAGTCTCTTTGCTAAGACTGCAGTATGTGTGCTAATCTATCTGGCCTAGTCACCTTCGCTGAGACCGCAGTATGTGTGCTAATCTATCTGGCCTAGTCACCTTTCCTCAGACCGCAGCATGTGTCCTAGTCTGACTGACTGCCTGCCTGACTAACTAACTATCTGACTAACTAACTAACTGACAGACTGACGGACTGACTGACGGACTGACTAAAAACTGACCGACTGACTGATTGACTTACTAACCAACTGACTGACTGACTGACTGACTAACTAACTAACTAACCAACAAACGGACTGACTAACTAATGAACTGACTGACTAACTAACTAACTGACTAACTAACATACTAACTAACTGACCAACTAGCTAGCTTTCTGACTAAATATATAACTATCTATGTGACTAACTAACTGTCTGACTGACTGACTAACTGACTGACTCAATAACATCTGCTATCCACATTACTCTTGAACTGTCCTGACTTAGATCGATCTTATCGGCCACACTGGTGCCTATGATGAGATGTAATGAATCCCAAGTACTCATCATCTCTCTTGTTGAACTAACAACATTATGCGTAACTGTAGGGGCAATGATACCCTGCCTGTTCATTTGTCGTTTTATTGATACATTACATTCACGATTTCACTTTTGGATGAGAAAGGATTTTATTGTAACGAAGGGAGCTAGTCATTTCTAAATATCTTTTTCTAGTAATACTGTTAGTCCTTAAAAAAAGAAAATTGAGGCTTTTGAACTGAAATACTATAGACAGATTCTCTGAAAACCGTGGACAAAGAAGAGAAGAAATATTGACATTTTGAAAGATCCAAACATCAAGAAAGATTGACTAATTAAATGCATCTTGTCTAGGAAGCTGAAATATTTTTGCCATTTCAAGCGCCACGACGGACTGGGGAAAAAAATAGTAGCAGAAGGCATGGTACCAGGAAGAAGTGACAGGGGTCGACTAACATGAAGATGGACACATGATAAAAGTGACTCCTTGAATATGAAAGTACATGAGGCGGGAGAGCTGACGAGAGACCAAGTTGAGTTTCTTTCCTTCTTCTTTTTCGCGTTCACCAGCTGTAGTCTCTTTCGGAAATTTCTGGTTGTTTGTACACTTCTGGATTGCAGTCCTGTTTTAGAACTTGAGTGTTGCGTGTGCATCCGTTTGACAGATCTGACTCATTTGTATGTAGACTGCTGGTTCCTTGCCTCTCAGGCAGATGCACTCTGACTTCGAACCAAGCTCTCAATTAGTCGACTCTTACGACATGCTTTTGAGTCGGCATTGGGTCTATTCTTGTTTAACCTTTAACAGGACCCCGAAACCCACACGTGGAGTATCGTAGTTCAAACAGCGTGAGAAGCTCTTTCTAAAAAAGTGTCTCTTCCACCAGGGGGGAAAGGGGGAAGGGGCGCAAAAAAGTGTACAAGGGGACCTCAAGCAATTTTGAAAACTGAGAAAAGGCTAGCTTGGTGTGGAGAGTGATGTCGCACGTCAACCCAAAAATAGCTGATATCATCAACACAAAATTTATACTTTGATTTATGCGGGTGCTTTTTTCCAAGTTCATATTAACAGCTCTTAGGATTTCTTTTTGTCTTTCTCTTTTTAAAAAGTTGTTATAAGTTGCTGGGTGAGGGATGTGTGTGTGTGTGTGTGTGTGTGTGTGTGTGTGTGTGTGTTGATGGTGGTGGGTTTTGTCATACATTCATAAGGCACACCAACTGAAAAAGGTTCAAAGAAAAACCATTCCTGCTTCGGAAACAAACACGGTTTTACCTGTTTCTTCCGATGCCAATTCCTTTTGATAAAAAATTTAAAGTTTGACCACTTTCAGACTGCTGCTAGCTAGACGAGGCTGCTAACAGTCTCCGTCTAAATTTGTGGTCTGGTTTATTTGCACCACTTTCGTGACTAAAGTTTAAGTATTTACGCCGTCTCTGGGCTTGATGCTTCTTTCCTTCGAGTCAGACCGCTCGTTCTTCACCCTGTTGTTAGTTGTGTACTTTTGCCTTTTCCTTCCAGACCTGCCTCTCTCTGACTGATTGACTTTCTACACCACCAGGACATCACACAAAAGACCAACAATGTGCCATCATGTGGACGAGGATCACCGTGGAGAGGTCCCAGAAACCGCGTTCAGCCATTAGGCCATATTTATGGCCTGGCTAAATTGCGGCCCTGGTAAGAACCAGAGTTTGGCTTCAAATAACGAAAAATTTCATTCTAAAATGGACGGCAAATGTTTTAGTTCGATAACCTCTCTCTTCAGGCACTAACCTTTTAGGTCAGCTGGAAGTACATTTAACCAATAGAAACATGTGTCATTTTACTGTTACCCAATGAGAAGACGGCAGCAGCGGAAATTTCCTGTTGTTAGAAAAAATGGTTCCCGTTATGTTTGTTCGTTACCTGTTTTGTAAACACAAACGAACAAAATAAAGTTCTAAGGAAGTATACTGCTAATCTGGAAGATCATATTTATTTTACTGATTTATAAATGTTTAGATAAAAAGTATTTCTTTTCTCACAATAGAAGCTTATGAAATGTTTCATATAACGCACGTATATGTGACAGAAAAGAACTTCCTGATGTTTTTGGATGTTTTATAAGTGAAATTACCCACTACAAGGTACAAGCTGCATCACGTTACAACTATCTCGTTGCTTCTAATTATTATTTCAAATATAATGTAAAACTATTATATAGTGTTATTGTCGGCGCCTTTATGGTAATTCTATCTATCAATGCAGTTACCACAATTTACTGCTCTGCACTTCCAATTTATCTTACTCAGCGGAATCAGGGGATACCTAAATGGGTTACTGGAAACTCCAGAAGCAAAAATAGATGGTTCGTTGGGGAAACTCCCTAGAAATTTCCCTGTCTGTTAGTTAATGAGTGGAAAGAATAGCTGTATTTATAATTATATGTAACACAGAGTACAAATATTCACAGTAAAAGGCTCGAGCTCGCATTTATTTTAGAGAAAGCATACGAGATAATGGAAGCAATGTTTAGGTGGAAATTCAGCAAATAATTCAAGTTTAGTCTGTGGGTAAAGCATATAGGAAAAACAATTTAATTTCGGATAATGTATGCTTTCAAAATTTTTCTCTCCTGGATATAATAATATGCTCATTTTACCATCATTATTGCTTACTTTACTCATAGGTAATAGCAATTACTTACGGCATAGTTGGATATTGTTCCTTGTTTCTGTTTTTTAGGATGATATAAAAAAAGTTCTGGATATTGTTTACTACTGTCATCCATGGATTATTATTATTCTTCATGCCATCCATGGATAATACAATTACTTACGCATATTTGGATAATGTTCTTTGTTTATGACATCTAGAAATGATATAAATAGGCTCTGGATATTACCTGCTGCCTTTCATGGATTATGGATTTTCTTCATGTGATCCATGGATACAAGCAATTATTGACAGCATATTTGGATAATGTTCATCGTTCATGGTATCTAAAGATTATATAAATAATTTCTGGATATTGTTAATTGCTAGTCATCTCCTGGAATATGGATATGCTTCGTGATCCATGGATAATACAGTTACTTATGGCATATTTAGATAATTCTGAAGAAGAAGAAGAAGATATTTGGATAATGTTAATTGCTTATGATAGCTAACGATGTTATAAATACGTTATGGATATTGTTAACTACTGTCATGCATGGATTATGGATATTCTTTACGTGATCCATGGATAATAGCAATTACTTACGGCATATTTAAATTATGCTCATTGTTCCGTTTTCTAAAGATGATATAAATAAGTTCTGCATATAAAGAAAATATAAATTAGTTATGGATATTGTTACTGCTGTCATCCATGGATTATAGATCCATGACTGCTGAAGGTTTTTTGATTGACTTGGCTGTGAACGTTTGTGACTTAGGCTTTACAAACACGCTTTGTAATGCCGGGGTGCCGGCTTCGATCCCAGCTGCGGGCCTTGCGCCTTGCGTTGGTTTCGACAGTGGTAACGAGAAGCCGACCGTCTAGAAAGCAATGGCAAACTACTGGACGTAAACTTGCCTAGGAAAACCACAACAGCCAAAAAATGCTGAGGTTGGTTCTGCAACGTCCTGTAAAGGATACACAACTAACTTGACTGTGAATTATATCAACTTTTCAATGTGTCATAACTGGATAATATAACTTATTTAAGCTTGACTCTTGGCTATAGTAAGTAACTCTTAGCTGTAGATACTATAGATTGAAGAAGATTAAACTTTGAAGATTGCATTCCTTTAAAGTGTTTAATAATTTGGAGTATCCAGAACTTATTTATGTCAACCCAAGAAAATAGAAACAATGAACATTATCCAACTATGCCGTAAGTAATTGCTATTACCTGTTACGTGTTTTATTCACGAATAATTTAGACAATCTGTACAGATTGAATGCAGCTATAGCCACAGATTGCGTGCACTGTTGATTGTATTCGTGGATCCTGAAAGTACTATAGATTTCTTTTGTGGAATAGCAACCTGCCAGATTTTATCCTAGAAGATTTAGTCGGTTAAATATAGCATTCTAATCTTTTTAGCCTGTTGGAGACTTTTTCCTAAAATACTATAGATTGTTGGGGAATTAAGCCTTGAGTGGTAGTGTAAACTGTTGGAGATTTCATTTTAATGTACATTCTTGAATACGTGTTGTATATATCAGTTAAAAATTGTTGAATATTTCAGTTAGGAATTGTTTAAGTGTTGAATATTTCAGTTAAAAATTCATTAAGTGTTGAATTTTTCAGTTAGAAGTTGTTTAAGTGTTGAATATTTTAGTTGTAAATCGTTCAAGTGTTAAACGTTTTAGTTAGAAACTGTTTAAGTGTTGATTCATGTAGGAATTTTTGAGCTGTTTGTTAAAGTGTGAGGACACTAAATTTTTAGCGCACTATGGTCTTCGTTTAACACTATTTTTCCCCCCTCAATTTAGACACTAGCTGTTGATTTGTCTGTCCCTTTAAATTTGCGTTAACGCGGTTTTTGCTGTATCTGTGTGTTGTTAGTTGCGTATCCTTCACAGGACGTTGAAGAACCAACCCCAGCACTGGCTGTTGTAGTTTATTTCTAGGCAAAATATACGTCCAGTAGTTTGCCACTGCTTTCTGGACGGTGGTCGGTTTCTCGATACTACTGTCGAAACCAATGCAAGGCGCAAGACCCGCAGTTGGGATCGAACCTGGCACCACGGCATTATGAAGCGCGTGCGCAACGACTTAGCCACAGACGCAGACGTATCTGTATACAAAAGAAGAAAATAATACTAAAAATAAGTAAGTCTTTTTTTTTTTTTTAACTTTTTAACTTTAATTGGAGAAAAAAAAATATTTCACCGTTTTTTTTTTCAGTAGCGATAAGAAATCTATTGCCGGCTTGCTAGGTCGGTCGCATGCTCACCAGGGTCAAGTTGGCCAGGACGTTTTGGGATAACCCAGAATGTCCTTCAGGGCTACCGCAGCGGTTCCTCCGCACAATGCCACGGCATACTTCGCTTAATCTTTGTAGAACTTAATATGTCTATAGAAAACCGAAGCGACAAAAGAGAAATAGAAATAGAAGCAGAAGACGGAGAGTAAAAAAAAAAAAGAATTTATTTACAAAATAGGCGGCGCGTTAGTGCAGTCGATAAGAGACTCGCTCTCAAATCCAGCTGCGACTCGCTGTAGCCCACGGCCTATGTTCTAAACCAGGCCGTTCCTGGGGTTCACCAAGCCTCTAGGTAATGGGTACCAGTGTTAACACTCTGGGGTAAATAAGGGAACGTCGCTGTAGCTAGGGAGTTGCGCGCGGACGGCGACACAGGCGGACAGTTTCTTATTAGCCTGCTGTACTGGTGGCAGAGCACTTATGGTTTTTTACTGTATGCAATGACGCTGGTTCACATCTCCCGACTTTACCTTTACCTATTTACAAAGTGCAGTGTGTGTCTTTTCTTATTAGTCTGTTTGCTAGTGCTATATGTTAAGTGTAAACATTGATCTGATACAGACATATAAAAATGATAAACTATTCAGTGTGCAATGACATTCACCTTTAAAGACATATCAGCAAGACATCGTTGTGTGTGTGTGTGTGTGTGTGTGTGTGTGTGTGTGTGTGTGTGTGTGTGTGTATTTTTTTTTTTTTTTTTTGCCGCCACCTTTCTGTACTTTTTCAACCGTCACGTTTGAGTGAATATATATGATTTTTTTTTTAATGGAGCGAAACCTGCAAATCGCTGTCGCGGTTGAGTGAATAAATGTAATATTTTAATTTTTATTTTTATTTTCCACAGAGCAAAACGTGCTATTAGTTGTGCTACGTAAATAAACACACACACACACACACACATGTGCGCGTGTTACCACCCCCGCGCGTTCGTCTAAATATACAGACACACACAAGTGTTCAGCTTGGATGACCTAATAAAGAAAAAGTCTTTTCCCAGAAAGCCACACTAGACACAAACACGAAACGAGGACACCACTTGGGTACTTGTAACCCAGGTTTAGATATCACGGTAAACAGATAGCGGCATTTAACTCTTTCAATACTTAGAAACGCATCGTACATTTTGTGGGGGGTCATCCCAAAGATATATGAAGGTTTTGGTGCCTCGATGTTGTAAAGGCTCTTTGGGAGGGGATGAACAGTAGCGGGGCAGACTTAGATTATCATTGTTTGAATAGAATGTTTGTGAGTTATGAGTTAGCTTATACGTGCTCAGATTCCGTTCTCAACATATTTATCAGCGTCATGCGGTTAATAGTACCATATATGTGTATTTCTACAACCTTTAAGGTTCGCCTATGTCCACTTAATGCCAAGTATTGCTCTTAAGCATGGCAAATGGAGTGCTTAATGGTCAATTTAAAAATTTGAGACTCGTAACATAAGCCAGATGCTCTAAAGGCTTGAAACGGGTCATCCCTTACCGAATTTGTTTCATTATTGTTTTTGGTACGCAGTGGTATGTCGTACCGGCACCACTTTTAAAGGTCTCAATTATTCTTTTTGCCTCAGTGCTGCTTAAACAGAACATTTGTCTTGAGTCTGGCTGCTGGACACTTTCCCACACATTCAGGCATATTGGGCATATAGGGCTAGTCCTATATTTTATAGACCAGTCGACACTCCGTGGGTGATGGGGTCGCCTGTATTTTTGAAAGACTGACCTTGGTAACACCTTTCAGGGCTGTGTCTTGAGTACCTTCACGTATCCTTGACTGTATTTACATATTCATGAGTTGTCGAGGAAGCCTGCAGACGCTAAGTCGTGCTTCCGGTTTCCTGATATTTGCCATTACATTTTTAACCCCCCCCCCCCTTTTTCCCTTCCCCCTAGGCTGCGATAATTGGGCCTCTCGGTGTCAGCAAAGCTCTATTAGAGGTCTTTTATAACATGATGGAGAGAAGAAGAAAAAGGGGGGGGGGCGGGGGTGGTAAAGACTACAGTGGGTTTATCCGCAACTGTGATTGTCAGAGGTAAAAGACACGATCAAGAAAAAACATAAGTGTCGTAGCAGTCTCTTGGTTAAGCTGTTTAATCATTGTATGTCAGTGTCCAGGCCTGGATGTAACATCTGTAATCGTCCCTTACACTTTACATTCACCACCATCATCATCATCATCTCATCATCATCATCATTATCCCGTAACACTACGTGTCGTTGGGTCACCAGTTTCTGTTGACTGTCTGACCAGCTCTCTCCACCTTTGGCGGTCAGTTGCGATGGACTTCATGGTTACATGCCTGAGGCCTGTCCAGTCAGTCAGGTTCTGTAACCAGGTCTTTCTTGGTCTGCCTCTTCTCCTCTTTCCCTCTACTGAGTCCTGCAGTATTGTTTTTGAGAGGCCGTTAGATCTCATCACATGTCCATACCGTTGCATTTTCGACTTTTGGCTGTAGTTAAAAGTGGTGCCAATGTGCTGGAGGAAAACACTATTTCACTATTTGTTATTACTGTTTATTACAAATACGCCACTCGGTTTAAGCCTAGGACATAAGAAAAGAAAGCTCGCTGTTTGCTTACGCCACGCATGCAGACAGTGCAACTTGTTAAAGCTACCAGGTACTAATACTACAATGCTAGCAACGCACACTTTTTCTCAACAACGAACCGACGAGGAGGAACATATCACGTGATACCCTCTCCAGTTTAATAGTTACCTGCTAACGCTTACACATGCGAACTAATCAAGCGTCGCTATTATAGTATGTGGTTTCTGTTTATTTACTAAATCAAAAGAAATTGTTTAGGCTTCTTTTGTTTTGGAAGACAGTTTGAATTGTTGTTTGAGTTTTCATTTCCAATTCGGGATTTTAAGACAGGCAATCAACCTATACTAGAGTGAAGGGTGAGAATTCAGAGGGACAATTTTTCAAATGTATGATAGTCTATCGTAAACAATTGTTCTTGAGTTTTGCTACGTTAGCGTCATCATGTAGCACCCCTTTTACAGAAC